TATGAGTATGGTATGGTATTAGTCTAAACCTGACCCGCATATTATTGGAAAGCAAATGAACTTTATGTATTAGGTTTTGAATTTAATAATATATTGAATTTTATGTGAAGGCTAATTGATAGTTTATGTGTTTATCACATGTCTTAATCAAATAATTGGAATTTTTGTTATTCGTTCATGTTATTTTACTTATTCATTACTTATATATAACAAGAAACAATAGGAAATTAGGTGTAGGTTCTAAACCCAACCCGCCCTACCCTTGATGTGGGGAGGGTTTTGCATTTTCATGTACAGGGTGGATTTGGAACTTGTTATGGGTTTTGGGGTGGCTATGGGTTAAAATGTTTAGGGAGGTGGATAAGGCCTAGAATGTACAAAACCCTCCTATCAAGACCTGATTTTTATTCGGTCCCCTCTCTAGTTCACTTCTTGCACCCCAGATGCCTGATCAAACCTCAACAATCTCCTTGGAATATGCTAAAACCCCATGAAACCAGATTTCAACCTAAATACCCTTAAATCCATCGTTAAATCTATAAGATTCTCATTTGATGGTCATGATTCTTCCACATCACCAAACTTGTCCCCTAATCAAACTCCATCACATGAAACAAAACCTTTGAACAATCAATCACACCAAATTTCAGCCCTAAGTTCTTTGATTTCATTATTCATCCATCAAAGATTCTATTTCGATGTATCTAACAATACAAAATTTCTCAAGCCTAAAACTTATGATCCATATGTCGCTAATATGATCAAAACCTTCCAACAGCTTTGCAATTCAAATCTACGCCACTTTACCAAATTCCATCCTAAAATCCCCTCAATTACTCATCCACTACCGAGATTCCATCTACGCCCCTTCATTAGTTGAAATACCCACAACTTAGATTCTCACGATTCATACACCTCTAAAGCTATCACACATTCCTATTAGAATACCCATCCATCAAATTTTAGACAAAAAAATACCCATTTTACCGTACATTTAAAAAGATTCCAAATCAACCACTTTCGTCACTCACTACTCTCAAAAATCAAATATCTTCATCACGATACAACGCCCAAGACCATTAAATCTTACCAAAACCTTTATCAACATCCTGATTGACCACCCAGAAAATTTTAGGCCTAAAAAATATCTGCTTTACCCTTCTTATAAAAATATTTCGAATCAACCACTTTCATTGCTTGCTACTCTCAAAATCGTAGATCTTGATCACAACACCTCTCCTAATACACTCAAACCTCACAAGAACTTTCATCAACCTCATAATCAACTATCCATCCAATTTCAAACCCAAAAATACTCATTTTTCCTCTTCTAAAAAGATTCTAAATCGACTACTCTCGTTGTTTGCCACTCTCAAAATCTTAAATCTCTATCTTGACACTTCTCTCAACACGCCCAAACCCTAATATAACCTTCATCAACCTCTTAATCAACCGTATACTTAATTTTAGACCTCAAAATATCTATTTTGCCCCTTATCTCAAAAGATTCCAAATCGACCATCCCCATTTCCCACCATTCTCCAAATTCAAGATTTTCATTGAGACACATCATCTAATACCTCCAAACCCTATCAAAACCTCCATTAACCTTTCAGTTGTTGATCCGTTAAACTTTAAACCTTAAATGACCATTTTACTCTTCACTTAAAAAGACTCCAAATGGACCATCCTCGTTGCTTGATACTCTTCAAATTCAAGATATCCATAATCGCGCATCATCTAACACTTTCAAACCCTAGCAAAACCTCCATCAGCCACTCAATCGTTGATCTGTTAAACTTCAAACATTAAAATGACCATTTACTATTCACCAAAAAGATTCCAAATGGATTATCTTATTGCCTAATACTTTCCAAATTCAAGAGATCCATTGTCATGCATCATCCAACACTTTTAAACCATATCAAAAACTCCATCAACCTTCCGATCATCAATCCGTCAAACTCCAGACCTTAAAATGACCATTTTAACCTTCACTAAAAAAGATTCTAAATGTATCATCCTCGTCGTCCGATACTATCCAAATTTAAGATATTCATCATTACACATTATTTGACACATTCAAGCCTCATCAAAGCTGCCTGAATGACAATCTATCAAATTTTAAAACCTAAAATGACCATTTTACCCTTTACTTAAAAAGATTCCAAATGGATTATCATCATTGCTTGATACTCTCCAAATTCATGATATCCGTCGTTACGCATCATTTGGCACCTTCAAACCTTCATCAGCCTCCCAATGAACCATTTACCCAACTTCAGTCCCTAAAATGACCATTTTACCCCTCACCCACAAAGATTCCCAGCTGAGGGCTCTCATTGGTCATAATTATCCAAATTCAAGATATGCATCGCAGTATGCCATCTAATATATCTAGACCCTATCGTCACGTTCCTAAACACCCTAATCAACCTTCCTTCATTTTCCTAGACCCAAAATGACCATTTTACCCCTCTATCAAGAAAAATCCCAATTGGATGACCTTTGTTGTTCAATACACTCTGAATTACGATGTCTCACTCTGGCACACCATTCGAGGCCATCAAACCCCATCATTATCTTTTTTAGACACCTTAGAACGCCCCTTGAATTTTTTTTTACAAAATTCCCCATTTTATCCTTCCATCTTCGAAGATTTTAATTTGTGTGATCTCGTTGGTTGAGATGAACCCTAGCATCTTGAGGTTTAACCCAACCACTGGATCATGCACATCATACCCCATAGAGCCTAGAATTCCGTTCTAACCCCCCTCTAGATTTTCATTTAGATTCCCTTACACTTTTAGGATTACCTAAAGCACCCTAACAACCCTAGATACAACCTTAGCCCTAGATCTAAATCCACACTCTCTCTCCACCCTTGGATCATCACCCATTAAATTGCAAAATGTGAAATATCTCAAGGAGGTTTAGTTGAGAATCCCCTATGTTGGTTTTGCTACTAGTTTCAATTGTTTATGATTTCAAGGAAGTTCGATAGAAAAAGAACAAAGAAGAGGATAGAACAAAATAACTAATGAAGCTCATGCTCCTTATGGAGAACAAAATAACTAATGAAGCTCATGCTCCTTAATCTTCATGGACTTCAAAAGCTTAGTCTTTCTAATTGACTCACGTATTCATGTATTGCGGGTCTTTCATTTGGGAGTTGATTTGAAATTTAACAATGTGGTGAGAAGAGAGAATGATAGAGGAATAGTGGTGAGCGATAGGACGAACTTCATTTCATAGAGCAATTGGTAATCCAAAATATCATTTCATATAACAAACAAACTACAAAACAGTACCAACAAACAACAACAAGAATTTAACAAAACCAACAATAAAACCAATAAACCAAACACATACAAGAGACAGCATACCAACACACCACAACCTAGGCACATAACAAACTTAGACAAACATTACCACTCCTATTACTATGAGAGACACCTAGGAATTTTAAATTAACAATATTTGACAACCAAAAATAAAAAGCATCATCATAGAACAACTGGGACTTAAGACCACTATAACCAATCTTCCATATACAGAACAACCATGACATTTGCATGTGTCAAAAGGCAAATATTATCACATTCAAACAAAAAAGAAAACCACCATTTACATGACTAGAAATTGCATTTCCTTAAAAGAGTCTAACAACTCACAATGATTTCAATTGAAGTAAAGATGAAAAATGGATGCAAAATAGAGAATGGTGAAAGTGAGGAGTAACCGATGAAAAAGAAAATGAAGACACACTTGATGGTCACAATTGAGAAAAATTGAGGAGTAACTAATGCAAAATAGATAAACGATGAAGGTTGTTGCAAATGAATTCAAATGCCTACTATGTTGGATGCCACATTAGATCCACATCATGTTACCATTGCTAGCAACAACTATGAAAACGATAGAACACGAGATTCAACGCTTTCTTAGACCACACCTTCCTGATTTCCAATGCATGGTCGTTTTCTTCCATTTTTTTGACCAAATAAAGAGTGTTTCTTGGTGCACCATTTTTTTTCTGATGTGGAGGCATTTTCTAAGGAAATGTCACTGATGCCAAACATGAAACATCATCCAAAATGTCACCACATCAGTGCCACATCTGAAATATGCTTTTTTTTATAATTTTTTTTTTTACAGAAAAATGCTTGATGTTTGGTTAATCATTTTTTGAAAAATGTTTTCTTAGACCACACATTGGAAATCAAGAAAGGTGTGCACGGTGTTTTCTTCTTTTGCTTTATTCTAACAACAACATGTTGACATGTCATTGAAAAATGCCTATGTAGCAACAACAATAATGGTACCAAATAGAAACCCTGAAAAACATTTTTTTTTTAAAGAAAACAAACATACCTATGCAACATTGTTTTCTAAGAAAACACCTCTTAGGACACAACATTGGTTCCAAACACCCGCCAAGTAGGTGATTTGACATTAATGCCATTTCTCCAAAAAACCATGCCACATCAATGCCACGTTTAACATCCATTTTTTTTTGGAAAATGCCTAATGTTTGGTTAATCGTATTTTGAAAAATGTTTTCCCAAACCATGCCTTAAAAAACTAGGAAAGGTGTGGTATGAGAAAACACCCTCTTTATTGCTTTTCATTTTAGCAACAACATGTTGACATGGTGTGGTATGTCATCTCTTGGGTGTTTTCCCATTTTTTCTACTATTGATAACAACAATATGTTGACATGGCATTAAAAGACGCCTTTATGGTAACAATACCAGTCGTACCAAATAGAAAATCTGAAAATACGATTTCTAAGAAAATAACATACCTATGCCGCCCCGTTTTCTGAGAAACGCCAATCAATAATTCAATAGTTCGAAACACCGCCTTAATTACACGCCGTTTTCGTGTTCATGTTCGAGAAAAACCAATTAAACAAAAGATAAATGGCAGATCAGATATTTAGAGAAATCTAGAGGGCATTTTCAGATCCTTGCTTTGGTCTTTATAAAAGGCCCAGCTCCCTTGGCGGGCAAAACCCGTTTTCTTCTCTCTCCCGATTCTCGTGAGGGTAACCATGAGGAAGAGACGGTTCGCGCAGGTCGCCACCAGCGACGACGAAGACGAGCGAGTAGAAGCTCAAACCACTCGGCCTCCCTCGTCCTCTTCAAATGCAGGTCAAAAGAAGAAGAAAGCCAAGCTCGAAGAAGAAGAGTCAGAAAGCAGCGATAACAAAGAAGAAGCAGTGCAGGAGGATGCTAAGCCGATCGGAGAAGTAATCAAGGTCACTGGGAAAGGGAGACATAAGCGAAGCCATTACAGTGCTTTTGAGTACGATGGGAATCGATTTGAAATCGTAAGACTTCTCTCTCTCTCTCTCTCTCTCTCTCTCTCTCTCCCATTCACATATCGATTTCTCATTTTTAATGCCGAATCGCTTGTCAAAGCTTCTATTCGACTTAGGTTTTCTTTCTGCATTGTTTAATTTGTAGAATTGTCTCGCATTTATGAGAAGTGCTTGTTTTTTCTTAGCTTCTATTGATATTTTATGTGTCACTTCCTTGGTTCAGTGACGAGAAGTCGAGTTAACGGAGTTTAATTTCTTATGTGGATGTTGCTTTGCTTCCTAGAAGTGCGTGAAAGTTCCTTCTAAACTTACTTCTATCAGATGAGTCGGTCTTTTTATTTTATTCATCTCTCTATGTTGCTGGGCAGTTATGCAAAATGTGTGGGGTTAAATGAAATAATGAAAATTCATGAAGTTCATTCAAGCCGAAGTTCCCTTTTTTATCAATCTGGCTGTTCTTTGTCTAAATTTGTAGTTGAGCTCAACGTTTCTCTGGAAGGAACGGATAAAACATACTAAAAGTACTTTTAATTCTCTATGGTATCCGGTATTAGGCATTTTGAGTCCCATATTTCGGTATTTTGATGCTAGAGGTTGATGTTATGCCCACACTCTCCTGAAAATTTATGCAGTTTTGACAGGTTAACCTTCCATGATTCTATGTCAAAGAATAGAGAAAGGTTTTAGTGACTTTTATCCTACTTCTCAATTTAATACTTCTTTCCTGTGGTTGTCATGCAGGACGACCCAGTACTTCTGACTCCCGAAGATACAAATCAGAAGCCTTACGTTGCAATCATTAAGGTGAATGGTTATTGATTTCCTACATTTGTTTGGGTATTTTATAATTTTCTATTTGTTTTTCTTATCTGGTCCTTTGAACCTTGAAATTATCCATCTGGTAAATTCTGATTGCTGTTCATGTTAACAAAAGTGTGCAAGCCACTTCTCATTGAACAAGAGATTTGTAAAAAAACCTGTATGACAAATTTATCATATGGGTGTCATGGGTTCAAGTCTTGTCACACATGTTTTGTTGATCAAAAAAAAAAAATCATACGGAGAGTTGGAGACATCTTTATAGGAGTTTGAACCTTAAGCGTCCAAGCTACAGTTGAGCACTGAGTGCCTTTTCAATGAAATCATATCACAGATAGCTTTCGACAATGATTTCTACCACCAGGTGACTATCTTACTTTTCTTGTTAGTTAAAATTGAGGCTTTATAACAGATCAAAGAAGACTTTTGATGGTGATCATCCACTTCTATCAACAAATAGCACACTGTAGATATCTCTTTCATTTGTAGATTTTTGTCCGTCTGGAAATGTTATTGAGATAGCTATTTGATGTGAACTGGGATTCTGGTAAACCTGTGGCTACTTTATTGGCTGGATATCAGCGGCTGAAGGGATTGAGTAGAGTTTTTATTTTCTTTTGAGTCTTATTTGAAGTAGGAAAGTAGGCTGGTCAATCTCTCTTCCTACGGTCTGTAAATCCATGTTGGTTAGTACAGAATTTGATTATGGAATAGCAATTTGGATGGAGCTATTTTGAGGTATCCTCTATCCATCTATTCTATGAAGGTATGATTTCTTCTTCTTTTTCACTCTTTTCTCTTTTTTTCTTCTATCTTACAAATCTAAACCATTCCAATTTTCCTTTATCTCATCTCAGTTTTGAACTCTCTCTTCTTCCCACAACATGATTCTCTCCTTCCCATTCTTCCTCATTCCTTTCTGTGCACATTTCTATGCCTTCTTTAATTTCATTCTTGTTAGAAAATGGTAAATTCTAAATGATGAGGCTCAAGCTTCATACCTCAAGGCTTACACCTTGTGCTTGTAATGGTTCTGGTACTTATTCTCATGCCCGTGTTTTTAAACATTTTTTTTTCAACATATAGGAATATAGTTGATATCAATCTTTTTCCCAAAATCATGTATGATCAGCTTTGCATGTAGAATCATAAATGCGTGCTTTGCTTTCTGTTCTCTTCTTTTTAATTTCCTTTTTATAATTTTAGTATACTCTTGGGTCTTCCTATCGTTAGAGTTGGTGTACTGAGAAGTTTGTTGTACAAGTCTTTTCAAGTCATAGAAATTTTCTTGCAGGATATTGCTCAGACAAATGATGGGAGTGTGATGGTTACAGGGCAGTGGTTCTATCGTCCTGAAGAGGCAGAGAAAAAAGGTGGTGGCAGCTGGCAAGCACGTGATACCAGAGAGCTATTTTATAGCTTTCATCGAGATGAGGTTCCAGCAGAATCTGTAATGCATAAGTGTGTTGTACACTTTGTCCCTTTAAACAAGCAGCTTCCACAACGTTCACAGCATCCTGGTTTTATTGTCCAAAAGGTTTATGATACCGTGGAGAGGAAACTTTGGAAATTGACAGATAAAGATTACGAGGACAACAAACAAGGTGAAATTGATCTACTTGTTAAGAAGACTCGAGAGCGTTTAGGAGAACTTCCTGATATTGAGCCTGAAGATGTTCCTACCGAACAAGAGGATCAGTTGAAGAATAAAAGATCTTTGAGAAGAAAGAACATGTCACCCCTTGATGTTTCAAGGGAAGATGATGCATCCTTCAGACCTGACCAAAATTTAAAAGCTGAAACACCAGGAAGCTGTACAAGTGATGCTTCAGAGTTTTATATAATATTATCAAATTTTGATGCTCTGACTGGGGACTCCTATCGTGACAAATGGTTAGAGAAGACCCTACAGGGAATTCAATTTGTATGTGATTCCAAGGATGATGTGCAGGTAGGAGATAAAGAAAAGGGTGGATCAATTCATGTGGATCATAATCCAAGTGGCAACAATCATGCAGGAAATGTAAATGGAACAAAAGAAAGGAGTGCAAAGGTAAGTGGGGGACGTTTTCTGAAGATTGTGATATGCTTTTCTTTGGATAAAATTTTAGGACTGGTAAAGTTATGCACCATCCATTTTATCAATAGAAGTTCTTGTACATTTCTTTAATTTTCTTTAATTTTTTGCTTTTTTAACCACATTATACCTTATAAAAAAGGATATTTCTGATAATTTTCACATAACACTATGATGTTTAGATGTCAATATATTCAGAACTGCAGGTAATGATGTTGATCAAGTGATATCAGTGGGACCCTGAGGAGATATTAACCTTTATCCTTTTGTTTTTTTTTTTAAATTACATATGAAGATGGGTTACATTGCAAGGGCTATCCCAACTGTTTATGACAAAACTCAAGAAACTATAATGCAACTACCTTTCCCCCCTCAAATCTAAGGGTCCTGGGGCCCTAGGAACCTGCAACCAAAAATTGTTAATGGAGAATTTATCAAGCTTATCTGAAATGCATCTTTGCCAATCTCTACCATTGTCAAGTATATTTTTTACCCAAAAAATGCATATAAACTAGACCCCAGTGGTTCACATAGTTGTATGCATTGAAGTCTGGCTTCCTATTACAAAATTTTCCTTCTCAGCTGCTAATTTAGTTGATATTTCCCTCATAACAGCAAAACCATGATTTCCTTATGACTATATGTCATCATCTGCTAATTCTCTTGCTGATTCCTAGCCTGACAAGGGATTAACAATCAGATACTACCTGGGAGGGACTCCCCTTAGCAATTGAGCACCATGCAAGAAATTAGACACCACTAGAATCAAGGGGAGAGACAATGGTCTGGTTTGGGAAAGTACATACTTATATTTTGCTAACTGTACAAGTGTACATTACTTTTCACTTCTGATATTTAAAATTTTTTGTAGTCATTCTGTTTTTTCCTTTGTCTTTTTTAAACAAGTGATACCTTATTTTAGTTATTACTCCTAAGGTCCTACCTATTCATCAAAGAAGCTGATACGACATTGATTTCTTGCATTTTACAGGGTGATGAAACCATTCGCTGGCCGGATGCTGCTGTTCCAGCAGCTACTGCTCTTGAGAAGGCTGCACATGATGCTCTTGGCTCTGATTTTCAGAAGTATAATAAGAAGATGAGACAACTAGTATTTAACCTCAAGGTTTGGACACTTACCTGTTCTTTTAACTCATGATTATCTGAATCCTCAAGTAGCATTTTATGGTATCATTCTCTGCCATAATTTCATATTCTATGATTCATCCTGACCTGAGCCCCAACAATAACTATATACTTATTTAATTTTCTACAAGTATATAGACCAAATATTTAACAACTCAAATATTTGGTTAAAGTGCAAAGCTGTCTTTGAAGGTCATGGGTCCAAATTGTGCTAGTCTAAATTTATCATACGTGTATTATATGCAATATATTTATTTCTCCATAAATTGTCTCAGAGAAAGTTAGATTATTACTAACTTGTTTCATTGTTTGGTCTCTTCATTAAGTTTTCATCACTTTTGCTGTTTAGTATCCTGTCCTAGATGGAATGATTAAAGAGGTGATAGAATGGGAATTCTGAGAAGCACTTCTTATTTGTCTTCCAAAAAATTGTTATCATGTCCAGTCTGAAGGTATTCAGTATTGAATAACTTGTTGCAGAACAATGCACTACTGGCAAGGCGTCTACTGAAAAAAGAGCTGGAACCTTCAACAGTTCTGAATATGTCCCCAAATGAACTGAAGGTATGCATGCTCTCCTGGATTTACATTTGTTTTCGAGAGAAGGTAAAGTATAAAATTATATTAATCAACAAAACCAGTACCCATACCCTTAGGTAAAGTATAAATTCTCTCCTGGATATAGCTGATCCAAAAAAGTAATCTCTGCTGGAGATAAATTTTTGCAGTTGTTTCCCTTTATTTTTTTCTTTTCCTCACCTGGAAATCTTTAGCTGATAGCTTGGCTAGAGATGTTAAGAAGTGTTCACTATTAGCTTTGTTGTATTGTTTTTTTTTTTGCTTGCTGTTTATAGGCTTTTTTTGGTTGTTCCCTTCTTTTCCTTGCCTTGATGGGGTTTATGAGTTGTACTTCCATATTGTTTTATGTTAATAAATTCCTTTGATCTTGTTATTTGATCAAAATAATTGATCTATAATCCATGTACCACCCCAAAGTTTAGGTCTGTGTCCAATCCACTCCACCCAACACCCTGGATACCAGATAGTTGGGATCAACATTTGGTAATGACCCTTAATCCACATATGACCCACTTTTGGGATTTTGGGCTGTGGATTTAGAGAAATGACCAAGCCCTGATGGCACTGGAGTTGCGAAGGTTGGATTGTAAATTTGCAATCCGAAGTCCATAGAATGCCATCTGAATGTCCTCTAAGGATAGATCTAGTAGGGGCTATTTTATATGATCCAACAAGACTGAACTTAATTTTCTTATCAGCAATAGTGCAAAAGAAATTTATTCATGAGATAATAATACAAACTATCAACCCTGCAAAAGATATTGGAGAGAGGGGAAACAGAAAACAGCCTCAAAAGGGGTGTACTAGATATTGTCCTAAGTCCTAACCTTTGGTGTTTTTTCACACAGTGGCCACTCTCAAACTGTAACCTGCTTTCTCACATTTGTCAGAACTAGATACATTTACCCTTCCATGCTAGGTGGTCCCCTGACCTCTCTAGTGACTCCACCCCTAGCTAGAGCATCAGCCCTTTCATGTGCCTATCTTGGAACCTATCTGAACTAGCAATTCATAGATGGTAAGCGTTTTTGGTGTAGGATGAGTAGGTCAAATGGGAGCTAAGTGGACTGAAAACTTAAAGGAAAGAGTTAAAGAGATGGATTGTAGCTTTAGGAGAGTTTATGGGAACTATCTAAGATGTGCAAATTGACCTACAGAGGTTTTTAGTTTAGATTTAGCATTCTATCAGTTTTTACTTGAACAAACAAAATTGACAAGAACTAAGGAACTAGGTCTAGGATGGAATTAGTTTATGATTATTTTGTGCAGATTTAGAATAGTGAGATGTATGGGGCAATTTAATTTGAAAGGGTTTTTAGTAGTTTAGAGAAGGCTGGAAGTCCTCCCTTCTAAGAGAGATGGAAAATTCCAAGAGGAGGATTTTTATTGGAAATTTGGATTGAAAATTGGTAGACAAGCCATTCATAAAAAGAAAAAAAATGGTAGACAAGCCATTTGTTTTGGAGTGTAATTACCCAGGATGGGGGTTTGTAAAAAATAAAAATGAAAGTGGGGGGTTAGCTAAGTCTAGCCAATACTTGGGGGTGCTCACACTACTAATAATTTTTTCCACGCGATTAAAAAAACTTGGGATTGATACTTAATGATCAAAAAATTTGAGGAGATAATAAAGATGCTTACTTAGGCTGTTTGGATGGTCCCAAATGAGTGATTTGAATCCTTGTGGAGAGTTGAAGGAGATGCTAACCGGAGGATTTTGATTAAACCTGCAGTGGAGAATTAGGAAAAGAAAGAGACGAGAAGAAAGGAGAAGAGGAGAACAAAGGTTCTCCAAAAACACCAGGAAGATTTCCACCACTCTGAAAAATACTTAGATGCAAGGATTAAAATATCGATGCTTCAATATCGATATGGATGATGCTCCTTTTTATTCTATTTATTTTATTATAATAAGAGGGCCCCATAAAAGGTTTGAGACCCTTTAAAGTTTTGAAAATATGTATATCAGTGTATCCATGTGTATCTGGATAAACTGATACAGTGATACCCATATGATAGGCCCAATACGAGGTGTATCATATCAATACTTTAATCCTAGTTAGAAGTCCTTCTTTCCCTCAAAAATCAATTACAAGATGTATATATTTGGAAGTAATAGGGATTACCCAAATTACGAAATTGCAACTAAAGTTTAGCTTACAAGATATATTTATAGAGAGGCGATAGAGCTCAGGTTACTGTTCACTCAACTATAGAGCTCAGTCCAAGGGTATTCATAAAGAATATATTGACCAAAGAAAAAAAATCATAATTCCTACTTTACTTATCCTATGACTTTGAAACTTTAAAAGCAATTTAAGACAGACTTAAATAACATGCCTATTATACTAGAACCTAATGATATGTAAAATTCCCAAGATAGTCCTAAAATAGAAAAATACTCAAAGAATTGGGAAAATAAAAAAATCCAAAAGCCATGCAGTAATGGATGTCCCCACAAAAGAGGGTTTGGGGTTGCCCTAAGGGACTCGGTTTAAGGAAATTAGATGTTGAGAAATGCCTTCTATCTTCCCCTCAAAAGAGGACATAAGGAGGGTATTGAATACAGGCTCAAGATGTTTTAGAAGTGAACTTCACCTTGAGCCTTGGGTAGAGTCTAATGGAGTTTGGCAAAAAGCGGGGGACATCCCTGGTTATATTTGGATTAGGGTCTATGATCTTTGCATCTGTGGGGCAATGAGGTAGCAAGAGGCATAGGCGACTTGTGTAGTGGCTAATTGGGAGTGGACAACTCCAAAGCTTTCAGTGGCACTACTAAGAATGCTAGGATTAAGGTTTGTTGAGTTGGAGTTCTGCCTCAAGCTGAAAATATTGTAGTGGGGATGCAATGCATATTTTTACAATTTGGCCAAAAATAAAACCAGAGTGGATGCCAGCTTCGGTGGACTTCAGAGAGGCAGTTAACGTTGAACCAACAACAATTCACTAGGTGTTAGCAGGGATTTTCATGGAAGAAGTTAAAGGAAAAATGTTGATGAAAGAAATGGAAGAAAGGAATGACATCATCAGGTTTTCAAATTTTAAATGGACAATTGAAAGAGAGAGATCAAGAGACATTCATCAATAAAATTGCTAATGTAGCTCATTTGAATTGAACCCGAGCACCCATGTAGCTCATTTGAAGAACCAAGAGCCACCCCAAAGACTAGGCAAAATTTGTTTCAAAAGGCCATCCAGGAAAGTTAGACACGGGTCTAGACTGTACCAAGGAATAGGCAAAGGTAAAGAGGTGGCCGAACTGGGCTCCTTCCTACTTCTTGATTAAGTATGAAGAGTAATCAGGTGAGTTCTTTGGCGAGGGGAAGCCTCTTGACTATTGATGATGAATGAGGACACAAGACTTATTTTGACTTTAGAAGAAAGAAATTTAAGCGTAGAAGCAGTCCAACCACCACTAGGGGACCCTTAGGGAATACAAGAAGTGATCAAGATAGGGTTTGCAAGAAAAGGGGAAGCTATTCTTGGTGCTTTAGTTCCCACTGAAACAAATGCCAAAAGGAGTGGATAGTTGGATGACAATTGGGAAGAGAATTGATGGTTCGTCTCTAGGTACTCCAGAACCTCTTGTGGTGATTCTTCTAGAGAGTAGAGATGAAGTCTGCCCACTTCCATCAAGCCAATATCAAAGGGTCAATCTAAGGTATGTTGATGAGAACGAGGTTTACACTTGGGTTATGTTGAAACTATAGGCCATTGGGAATTTCTTAGGGGTGTCCATTAAAGGGCTTGAGGAAGAGATAGAGACACTTTTGTGGAAATTGGGAACATGTTTTTGGTGGAGAAATGAAAGAAGAACAAAAGGCAATCAAAAGAGGTGTTGAGGTTAGCATGGGGATTGAATGACAATGTTGGCAATGCTAATTGGAATAGTTGATCTCCTTGAAGATAGTCAACAGTAGAAGAGAACAAGCTAATATCTTGGAATGTTCAGGGGTTGGTGTCGGGTAAAAGAATTTTGGTAGTGGGCACCTTTCTGAGAGAAAGGAAACCTCGTATTTTACTAATGCAAGAAACTAAATTTACAAAAATTCAACTTCATGATTGTGAGAAATGTTTGGAGTTTTAGAAAGAGGGTGGGGAGGTAGCAAGGGCCCTTGCTTTCACGGTAGAGCAAAAAAGGGTAGACATTGGTGGTGAAAGTCTCCTATCCTAAAGGTGTCTCAGATAAACTGCATATTGTGTGAAAGTACAGGAGCAGAGGTGATGGTAAAACTTGGGTATTTTGGTGAAGAATAATTTCATTGCTTGCAAGACAAGATACAGAAAGAACCTCATCTGACTGATGCACAATGACAACGAAGGGGAGATGGAAGGGCACTTCACACTGGCGATGAAATGGAAGGAGGACCTAATAGTGGAAAAGAAGAGGTTTCTGCTTGAAGAAACAGGCAGAGGTTCAACTCTAAAAATCAGAGAAGATAAAAGATCAATGGTGATTTTGAGTAAAGAGGCTAGGGATTGGTTTAAGGGCTTTATTAATGGTACAATATTTGCTGTTACTAAATCAGGTTGGAAGGTCGAGTTGCACTTGGAAGGAAAGAGGTTCACAACAGAGAGGAAGAGTATTAACAAGGGGGGTTTTATTGAGCCGAATGAAGTTTTTGGGAATTGTAGGGAGGTAGATAGTGTGTAAAAGGGAGAGGCAAACAGGGTTGGATAAAGAAAAGGCTGTGCTTATGCTATTTGATGAAAACACAACTGTTCTTCACAAGGGAGATATCCAGTAAGAGGTTACCAAAGTAAATACCAATGTTGGAAGGGCCCATCTCTGATTGTGAACTAGAACTTGTCTTTGCAATGGGGAGCTTGGTGGTGGAAGTTTTCAAGTCAAGATCCTTGGTCTTCCATTTAATCTCTAGACAAAGCAAGTGTTCAACCAAATAGCCACAGTTTGTGGTGGAGTTCTGGAGGAGATGAACATGTCTGACTTGCAAGCGGTCTGGTTGAGGATCGTAGGTGCCAAA